ACTGGTCAGGAATGCAATTATATGGATTAAATGGGCTGGAAATATTGGGCCGAAGGTCAGCCTCATTAAAACAGTTGTTTCGTCGAATGGGAATAATGAGCTAGACAGGGGAAAACCCCAAATCAACAAACATTCGACCCAAATGAAGGCAAACTTCAGTCTAGAAGTCTAGACATTTGAATTTGAATTTGAATAATTAGAAATGGATGACTATCTTTTGAACAATCCGAATCTGAATTCGATGCATAATGTTTTACAATTATAGATTTAAATATACCAATACCTGATAAGTTCATAATTTAATTTGAAGTTTGCATATATATATATATGCAAATGTAAAATATGACCGAGTGATTAATTGATATAATTAAGTTTCACTACATATTTGATTTTTTAAAAGTCATTTCTAATTGAATTATTCAGGCCAGATATATTTTTGGATTGAATTTTTTAATATAAACAAACTCGGATATAGAGTGTGAAAAATAAATTTCATCAAATCAAATAGTTGGATTAAATTCAAATCAAAAAATTTTAATTCAAATTTAGACTCGGACCAACCAATCCGATGCCAGGCAAGGATCTTTTTGGTAACAGCAGAGACATAGTTGTGCAACTTTTTTTTTTTTAACTAAATCCATTTCTCCATTTCTTTCAAATCAATTTCCCATCTTTTGGCAATACCAGGGACATTAGTGTTGCACTATGGGCTGTTTCCCACGAATCTTGTCGGTTGTCGTATCAAGTTTAGCATCTGTTTCGAGTGATTTTCATTAAAAATTGCAATGTTGATCCTAGAGGGTATATTTTCCTAATTCTCAATTGACCCCATAAAAACTCTCTCTCTCACAGAAAAGATTTGCAGAGTGCAGTGCAGATATTTTTGCTTGAATTTATGTGTGTGTAGGTGGTCTCATCTACAGAGAAACACCTGACAGTGACTTTCTTGTGATTTTACAAGACTTCGGTTTACGTGACATTCTTCTCTAGTGGAATACTGGCTTGCACTAAAGAGCGTAACAAGAACAAAAGTATAATAACATGGATTCATATGATGTTCTCTGGTGCAATGTTTAGTGTTGGGACACTTATTTAGTAGCAGAGACAGTAAGTCATATGTTCCTGGTTTCACCTTTGCATACCTTTACTCTCAAAGTGTAGGCAACAAATTCTGGGCGGCCTTGTTTTATCTTTTTTTGCTTACCAATTTGTGTGTACAATTGAACTAGTGGGTTTCACTAACTGTGAATTATTCTCGTAAAAAATTTGATTAGAGTTATATTACGTTTGGTACGCGTTAATGTTTTTATAAAGAATGAAATCAAGGTAGAAATGAAATGAAATGTATATTACTATTATAATGTTTGGTAGTAAGTAGAATTAAGCATTAGAATAGAATTAAAAATTCACTCAAATATTTTGATAAATAAATATTTGAAAAATCCTTAAATCCGAGCACTAGTCCTGGATCTAGCCCCGAACCGAACTGGGTCTCCACCCGAACCCCTACTTAACTCAGACCCAGACATTGAACCGACCCAAATTGGTGGTGAAATGGTGATGGTGATGGTGATGGTGACAAGTGATGGTAGTTGGGAATGAGAAATGAGGAAAAAGAAAGTGGCTGCAATATTTTTAAGGGTGCAAATGAATTGAATCGCACCAAACATTAAACTGTTCAGGTATACCTCGTTTATTTTGAAACAAGGTTCACGAGCAGCTGGGGATTATTATAACTAGGGATGTCAACTTTGAATTGTAAACATGAACCTAGCACAAAAGATTTTCAAATTGACAAGATTATTAAATGCACATAATAAATAATATAGATTAATGTTTGATACTTAAAAATCATCAAATAATTTTTTTTTTCCATGGGTCTTAACATGTACACGATATAAATAACAATAACACGACACAAAAATACCGACACGTAGGTCACACTACACGACACGAATTAATACCCCTAATTACAAGTTTTAAACTCGGCTCCCTAATATTTTGGGAACTTGGTTTGGCTTGACTCGACATTGAACTCTTAAACTCAAGTATTCAGTTTCGCTTGCAATATATACTTATATACATTAGCATACTTTGTTATTTATATGTTTACGAGAATAAAACAAGCTGAATAAGTTGTTCACTAGGCTGGGCCATTAACAAAAATTGAGCTCGAGCTCGATTTCTTTAGAAAATGAATGAATTTGTACAAAAATTTCAATACGAGCCATTCCAAAAGTTTACGTTAGCAGCTCCGTATTTGAAGGCGACATTGATAGGGTAAACATTGCTGGTATTCAGTGGATAAGGACTTTTTAAAATGGTACACAGGATAATATTCCTTAAATCCAGAGGATAAGAACTTGTCCGAAAATGGTAAAGAGGATTAACATTGCCGAGAGGCAACTAATTAAGAGAGAGCACTAGACTAAGTGGAAAATAACCTTATTTGAAGCAAAAGAAGGCATTGTAATTACATAACCTTGTTGGGAAGTAAGCTATGGCCATTGGGTCTATTGGATAAGACTTCTTCAAGTAAAAGACCGAAAGACTAAGGAAAATGACATGCATATGGCTGAGTGCGAGTCAGTGACTCCGATTTACAGCTCAAGTAACATGTGTTAATTTTTTTTTTTTTTAGTTATTGGGTGTTTAAGTTTATATCGATTATCTTGCGATATTAGTCACTGTAATCCGAGCAGATTTAGAACATGTCTTTTAAAAAATAAGGAGTAGTGCACCGAATATATGAGACAAGAAACTATTGTAAACCCCATTGACATGCTTGCCCAATTCGATTTAAGTATTTAAATACAAATTTTTAATATTTGGATTGTACTTTGAACAAAAAATCTCAATCGGAATAGACGAGTCAAGATTTAACTGGGCTCAAATTAGCTACAAAATAAGTTCAATCCAGCTCATGGATTTGGCCCAATTCAAACGAATTAGCACACGTGAGGAGTAATTACTGGAATAACCATTCTCAGAGATCAAGACCATCTCTAATTGGACCTATCCTATAACTATACTCTCTGAAGGATTAGTCACCTACCATATCACGCCACTGCCTGAACTTAAGATTCTGTGCAAATAAATTGTAAGTTCTCTCAATTGAGAGGGGCATCTCTCCACACTCTCTTTACAGAGCTTACATTTGCTTTCTCTCACACCTTACTTTGTTAATAAAAGTCTTTGGCCACGGTTGCCTCCTTTGAAAGTGGAGTAAGTCTCCCTGACCGAATCATTATATATCTGTGTATTGCATGTCGAAAAGAGTACTAGACTAGGAAAAAATAATCTTATTTGAAGCAAAAGAAGGCATTGTAATTACATAACCTTGTTGACTCTATTGCATAAGAATTCTTCAAGTAAAAGACCGAAAGACGATGGAAAATGACATGCATATGGCTAAGTGTGAGTCAGTTACTCAAATTTACAACTCTAAGTAACATGTGTTAAAGTTTTTTTTTTAGTTATGTGGTTTTTAGGCTTGTATCGATTACTTCTTTGATATTGACCACTGAAATTTGAGCAAATTTAGAATATGTCTTCTAAGAAATAAGGAGTACCACACCGAGTATATTAGGCAAGAAACTACTCTAGACCCCATTGGCATGCTTGCCCAATCCGATTTAAGTATTTGAATAAAAAATTTAAATATTTGAATTGTATTGGGGACAAAAAAACTCAATCGAAATTGTGTTCAATGAATTTGAATTGTACCCGAGTTTTAATCTGAGTTATGCCATCCCTAGAATCAAATTTGAACAGATGCAATACTTCTAGCAGAGAATTCCCCCAAACCAAAAAGCGATGGCAGCCAACCATTCCGATAAGATTATCAGCGAGACAGTTAAAAGGAAATCAACCAATATTTAAGGTTGGCATTCATAAAATTGCACTTTGAATCAGCCCCTTTGAAATGCCATAGATATAATAAAACCAGATCAACCAAAAACAAAGAAATGCCATAGATAGTGGTTTGGGAATCATGTTCCTAGATCAAATGATGCCGGAATTGATGCTCAAGAGAGGATAACTGTTGTGTAACACAGTCCATGTTGGAGAACTGGACGTGAAATTTTTTTAGTTGTCAAGGTGATGACGAGATTTAAACACACCAACTCTTTATTTGATATCACTTGAACTGTTAATTATATGTTTTAAAAGTTTAAACTTTTAAAATAATTATGACTTAAAACATTTATAGTTTAACCTTTCCCAACATTCAACCCGGTTTTAAAGTCCATAGGGATGATCCAGTGACTTCGGCGGTTGGGCTATCACTTCTGATAATTTAGAGGTTTTAATTTTAAGTGATATCACGAACGAACTATAAATTTATAGTTATGAGATTGAATCATGATAATTTTTTAGGGTAAGATTATAATAAATTTATCTTTCATAAATACATATCTTAGTCTCGATGTATATAATCGCCTTTGACCTAATCGAAGATGAGATTAATTTAAGAAAATGTAAATTGTACAAATTCCTCCCCGTTAAAAAATAAAAAATAAAATTGGGCACTAATCTACTCAAGCGCCAAAAAAGGTAAGGGCAGCCCTTTTACATATAGACGCCAGCTAAAGAGCATTTTTCCCATTTTTCATTATTTGCTTTCACATTTTTAGGCAGGAATTTTCAACTTTTTTGTTTCCTCTCATCTTCTTTTTCTTTGTTTATTTATTCCCCGGCAAATGAACCAAAGCTTTCATGCCCACCACCAAGATAACTGGGCCCCCACCCCTCTTCCGTACCACAGCCGGGACACCGGGAGTCCTTTACCCCTCTCTCCTATTCGATCCCTTTTATAAATTCTCACCACAGCCTCTCTTCTCACTCTGTCTCAATCCAAACCAGAAAACCATCAACACCCACCTCCATCTTTCTGTATTTCTCTCAGCTTACGTATATACTCTTCTTCTTACAGTAAAGTGTTGTCTTCCACCCCCTCATGAGAGGAGGAAGAAGATTAAGCAAGAGTAGCAAAAGTGATGGAGAGTCCTTACTATGCACCGCCACACGTGGACACATCTCGGCCGTCCTTAGGCTTCCCTCTCGGGACAGCCCTCCTCTTGATCATCATTTTCAGTCTGAGTGGCATCTTCTCATGTTGCTACCACTGGGACAAGCTCCGGTCCCTCCGCCGATCTTTCGCCGATGGTACGGATCCCGAGGCAGGTAGTGATGAAGAGACCTCGAAGCTTGAAGCCACCCCCATGGTAATTTAATCCAAAAGAATATAATTTTTGATATTATACCTCAGTTGTATAATCTCCGGATAGATTTTTTCCATATCTGATTTTATTTTTTTGGGCAGGATTTAAAACAAATTAAAAACCAAAGCTTGCCAGTACTAATGCCAGGAGATCAGATTCCAAAGTTCATAGCATTGCCATGTCCATGTAAGCCTCCAAGACCGGAAAAGGTCATTGTACAGGTGCAGAAGCCGCCCAAGCCCCCAAGAATAGCAGTGCCTTTGTATTAGCAAAATCATCATTTGTTGTACATAACATATGTCATTAAACTTGAATCAAATTCCCCTTTTGCTTCTATAGCAAGTTTCATTCATAGTCGCATGGAATTTCTCACAAATAATTATCAGGTTAAATCTTTTGAAGTGATTGAGAAGGCACGATCTCAGGATTTTTAACTTTATTAGATATGATCTTGGATCTCGTACCATAGACTATTAAATCATTCTTTTTTTTGGTTCAACAACGAAGGTTGTTTGAATCAGTTTACGTATATTTTGATTAATTTTTTTTACTATTTGATTAAAGACAAGTCATTCACACCAGTACTATCACACTAGGATTAGAGTATCCTTCTGTTCTAAAAAAATTTTCAAAATTTAAATTCAAGACGTTCAAATTTCGAGTTTTATCTCGAGGGTAACAAAAAACTAAACTTTAGCTAAGCTGATTGGTAATAGTTATAGAGCGCCTCTTCCTCCTATCTCTTAATGCCTTCACACCAATGAATGCGCAGTACATCTAAGAAGTGTCTAACCCCCCAAAGTTGACACTGGAGAGGAGAATAATACAGTCTCGAGGCGAATAACTCTTTTATAAATATCGTTGCTTGATACTTGATATCTAAGCCCGGGTGTTGATACTTGATATCTAAGCCCGGGTGTTGACTGCTCAGGAATAAGCATTGCTCAGGTTTCACCGAGAACATAGAGTCGGCATTACAGTAATCAATGTCTTGTAATGATGATTGTTCTCATACTTCTCAAGGACTTGAATGCGTGTTTAATAACTTGTAACTATTCAATACCCTATTTAATTAGTTGTCATATTTCCTTAAAATGCTAAGCCTTGATAGGTGTATTCGGCATATTAGGGGCTATAACTCCTCGGTGCCTTCTCTAGGTGTTTTTTGCGGTTTATAACAGTTATAATTATTCACCTGTCAACTTAATACTATTAAACCGTCCAAAATCCTGTCCGTCGGTAAGCCTACTTTTGAACTCTAATAAGAGCACTATTACTGAAATTTCACCTGGAGAAAGGAAAAAGATGCTGAGAAGTCAATTTAAGCCTAATTTCTCTCTCATTGGTTGTCTGCCTGCCATGATCTTCCAGAATTGACCAATCTAGCAACAATCCAAACTGTAAACAGAAGAGTTTAGGTCACATCACCATGTACTGATCAAATATCATGCTGGTTACTGGTAGTGGCAAGTGGGAATTCAGATCATTTGCCGCCTCATACTGTTTAAGATTGGCACTTTTCATCTTTCATTCGCATCATTGTTTTTTTTATTTTTATTGCATAATGTTCAAATTTGTGTTGTCGATTTTTTCGAATTCAATACTTAATCATCGTAATTTAAACTCAATTAGAGTATGTCTCCAACTGATTCACATCATTGTTGCAATGAAAGTGACCATTCTCCATTTTGCCACTTTCACCTTCCTGCTGTTATGTATCAAAATAGGGATAAAAACCTATGGTACTCATATTTTATTTTTTGGTATTATTTTAAAAACCATTCTTCCATCACAGATTTTGAAGTGTTTGTAATCGTTGGTCATTATAAAATAACAAAATGAACTGAAAACAATAAAATCTCTATATCAAAACCTTTGATTTTTTTTT